CCCGAGCGTACCAGGCACGCCTGGTGCGCCAGATGCGCCACGCGCTCCGAGTGCACCAGGTGCGCCGCACATTCCAGCCGCGCCAGGTGCGCCACGTTAGGGGCACGTACAGAGTGCGTCAGGTGCGCCTGCGCACGTGACGGCACACATCGGGAAAATTGTCGGCCCCCACCATCCTTGTCGAAAGCCAATGCCCATCATCGTGTCCGGTGGGCATGCGCGCGACAGGCCACGCGCCACCACCCCCGCGGTCCCTGTCAACAATTATTTGACAGTGATCGCGGGATGTCCGCGTATGATCCAGTTTTAGCCACGAGGTACAGTTTTGCGCATAGCAGAGAATCTGTTGACACCCCCGCCGTCCCTGTCAAGTACAATACATCATATTCGCGAGCCTCACGAACATGACTCAAGACTTTGTTCCCGACAAGTGTACTTTGTATTTTTTGAGAGGGATGGTGGGGGGCCGCATCGGGTTGGCCGCGCATGCTCCAAATGGGGAGGCAGAGTGCAGGTTGTGTTGTGTTTTGATAGGGGTAGTGGGGGACGGGTCGTCATGGTGTCCTCATGGTTCCTGGTCGGACGCGTGTCGCCTGGGGGACGGGGTGCATATGAATAAGGAACATTGATGAACTCCTCTCCCGAGCAGGGGAAGGACGGGTTTTGGCAGGGAGAAAACACACTCGTCAGACCACCTACGCCCAGAGGGCTGGTGGGACTCGTCGTGGTCACGGTCGGGGTCAGGTTGCGTTCTCAATATCGTAAATTTGATGGTTGCGACCTTGGACCAGTGGTGATCACGGTCTGGGTCGGATTGCAATGGGTGGAGTGTGAAGGGCACAAGGTTTTTTTCTTGCAGCCCACATGGTATTCCGATGCCTGCCGCGGTGTAGCGGGGCCTCCTGGTAGAGCCAGATGGCTGTAGTGAGAATGGTGGAGTGGGAAAGGCACGAGGGCACGAATCTAGATACATCACACAGTCTGCCGATGCATGTCGGTGAGGTTGGTGAAGTTGGGAAGCCACGATATTTGATCAACAACGCGTTATGCCCACAGCCCGCGAGGTCCGTTGCGGCTTTCCCAGATTTTGCAAGTACGACTGGTGGGGTGAGGAGGACACGGACCTTGACAAATAATGCGGTGTGCGCATAGCACGCGAGGTCCGACGTGACGTCTTTGGAGTGGGGGGAACGGGAATCTGCTGAGGTTGGTGGAGTTGGGAGGACACAAACTAGGGCGAGTAATGTGATAAGCAATACGATGTGCGCTCAGCCCTCGCAGTCCCACGCGACCTCCCTGGAGGGGGTGGCGACGAGGCACTGGCGGGCCTCCCTCCTCCTCCTCCTCCCCCTCCTCCTCCTCCTCCTCCTCCTCCTCCTCCTCCTCCTCCCTCCTCCTCCTCCTCCTCCTCCTCCTCCTCCTCCTCCTCCTCCTCCTCCTCCTATTCCTCCTCCTCCTCCTCCTCCTCCTCCTCCTCCTCCTCCTCCTCCTCCCCCTCCCGAGTAGGGAGGGCACGAACTTTGCTGGATAACGCGGTGTGCGCACAGCCCGCGAGGTCCGACGCCTTATCCATGGAGGGGGGAAGAGAGCGTCGGTTGGGCCGTCGGAGTGGGGAGGGCACGAACCCCATTTGCATAGCCCGCGCGGTCGGACGCGGCCTGTGTGCAGGGGGAACGGAGTCGGAGGGCACGAGCCCGGATGACATTCTTTGTGTTCGCACAGCCCGCGCGATCGGATTCGGAGACGTAGTTTTCCCATTCTTATCCTAATATAGTTGAGGGTGGAAGAGAACACACGATGTCCGCTTGGGCCCCCGTCGGAGGAGAGGACATTCGAGCGCAATGGCGCGCGCGGTCGCGCGCGACCTGCCGCTGGTAATAACGTGAATGCGCGGGCGTCGCGGCGACGACGACAGCGACGGCGATGACGACGGCGGCGCCTGCGCGGACTGCGACGGCGACGACGGCCGCGGCAACGGCGACGGCGGCGAAGACGAACCTCGCGGCGACGGCGGCGACAGGCCCCGGGCCCACGGGCGAACTTGAAGTCACGCGCCAGATTTTATTGGAGGAGCGGAATTTCTGTTCGCAGTTTTACCCCAGCCGTCTCAATGTGACCAACGTTTCTTTTTGGCTTTCGTAAAGCGTTCCCCCCCCAAAAGGTTTGGACCGGCGCGCCTTTGCTACAACCGCTACCTCGGTTTAGTAAGGCCGCTTCTTCGCTGTAGTAGAGCCGCTTTCGAGCTTTAGTGAAGCCGCTTCTTCGCTGTAGGAGAGTCCGCGGTCTGGTTTAATAAAGCCCTGGGGATGCGGGGCGAGAGCCTGGTCGGGGGGCGGGGGGCCTTTGGTCTCCCATGCCACTTCATTTCGCGATGCGTTCGCTCGAGTACTCAGGGTCGCGTTGCATCGGGTCGCGGCGATGACATGTTGTCAGCGAGTTGTAGATGTTCCCCGACAGGAAACTCAGGGCGCGAGCGCAGGACGTGGCTCGGCATTTCGGACCCGCCGCCGCGATTCTCGCGCAACAGAGCGACAACACTTTACTAAAAGGCTTGTTTCTTTTAGCGAACAGCTCGTTCATTCAACACGATAGTTTGAATTTCCCGCTCCCAGCGGATGCGGCCTCCATCCATGGACGGGGGCCGAAATGGCTGGTGGAGCTGGTGGGTTTCAAGGCATGACGCATGATAGAACGGCGGAGTCGACATGTCTGAGGAGGAGCCCGAGGAGGAGGGAGGGGGAGGAGGAAGAGGAGGAACAGAGGATGGTCTTTTGAAAGCAGGAACCGATTCAGGATATGGGGAAACATATCGTCCTTCACGGCGCCCTGCGCAATCTTGCGCAGCTGTAGCAATAACTCGCATGCAACACCAGCGAAGCACCGGTTTGGTGCTTGACGCCTCCCGCTCGCGGACGCGTCGACCAGATCGACGAATTATGAGCCCTGGGCTAGATCCCGCTTGTTCACACGTTGGCCTCACGTTGAATTTCAGAGTCCAGAAAGTTTCACCAGGGGATCTAACTATGTATTAACCTGACGATCCATCGCTCGCGCCATCAATCTGGTTAGGGATATCTTCACTGCCCAAATCGACATGCGATTGTATATATATGTGTGTATACACACATATATACATGTGTTAAAGAGTATACATAATGTCCCGTCCTCACTAGCCATGCACCGATGCCACGCTCGAACAGTAGATCCGTGTTTCGACGCGTCTATATGGCAGTAACAAAATCGGAATGTGGGCACCATCGAATTTTAATTTCGTGATCTTAGTATCTATCTATCGGCCGCAGTATCTATTGACATATTCGCCACCCGTTGGACAACAACGGTCAACCACCAATCGTTTGGGAATCCGCGGAGAGGCACCGACGGGACATCCGTGGCACAACCGTTGTGACGGCGCCAGCTTGTCGGGGGATGTTTTTTTTCCTTTTGCAGCAAATCGTCACCCTCGCGCAGGTTCGCTTAGCGCACGCGCGCGACATTGATCGAATCCGAATATGCATTCCCAGATTGGGTCGCCCCTTTCTCCCCCGAGAAAGCTCCTATACACACGTGCACGCGCGAGTGGCCATTTTGTGAGGTCAGTGCTGGGGTAGACCAAGTGTTCGTATATGATGTATGACATCCGCACGAGAGCTCTGTAACATAAGCCTCGCCGTTCGTTGATTTTCTTGTCACAGGAGGCAAGGCGGCAAGGCGTCGGACCACGGACACGAAAACGTCATTGGTGTCACATGGGCGAACAGGTAGCCCCGATCGCTCGACTCTCGTCTTACAATTGAGACCCATGCCCAGAAACCCCCTGCTTACCTCCAGGGTGCCCTGGGTTTCTTAAGTTTCCATGGTTTCGCTATGGACAGCGCGACGTGCCCACCAACAATCATTGGACGTTCTGGGGTGTCAGGGTTGGTTTTTTTGTGGATGGTTTCTGGTGGTCGGGCCCCTACTGTCGGGGGTGGACAGAACCCCTACCCTGACACGTCGATTAGTGAATTGTCCGTTTTCGGTTCTCGAGATGGCGCGCGGCCATCATTTTCCAGGCTTGCGCCCGCCAGGTTTGGGCCCGAGGCCGTTTTCACTGAGCCACGTTTTACTATGGGGAGGTCTGTCCATCCCCGACACTCTTACTCTCCGCGGCAGTGTTGGCTCAGGCCAGGTGGGCTCGAAGCCGGGCTGCAGCGGAGCGTTCACACGCCGGCGCGTGCTCCACGGCCCCAGAGGGGCGCTCGGCAGGCGGTGCTCCCCCCTGCGCCCCTGCAGCCAAGCACGGAGCCCGTTTCTCCTGTAGAAGCCAGCGAGCACCCTCCTCCTCCCACATTCCTCTTCCTCCGCCTCCTCCTCCACCTGCTCCTCCTCGTTTTTCTCCTCCTCCTCCTCCTCCTCCTCATGCCCCCCCTCATCCTCCTCCTCATCCTCCTCTTCCTCTTCCTCCTCCTCCTCCTCCTCCTCCTCCTCCTCCTCCTCCTCGGCGCGGGTTGCGTCTTGCTGCTGGCGGGCCCCGCAAGCGGCAGGCGTCTCGCATAGCGGGCTGCCGCAGAGGTTGCTGCATGGCTTGGCGGTGCCATTGAGGCGTGCTCGCAGGAACCTAGAGCCTGGCGTTGACGACGAGCTCTTTGCGCAGCAGGCGGCGAAGGAGGTCCAGAGGGGAAAGTTGACCCGGTTCAAACTCCTGTCTGTCGTATGTGTGCATCATGCAACGTGGTCGTCATTGCGTTTTTGTGGTTTGGGGGCATTCTGCTTACGACGTTCGCGCAGATCTGCAGCTCACTCGCCCAAGCTAAAGTGGTCACAACTACGTGAATGGCACCCTCCACAGTTACATGAGGATCCGCCGACTGCATATATCTGGTGCTGACGGCTGGTCTTAGCGCCACGCTGTGTCCAGCCGCCACTTCTGCAGATGCAGTCTTCGATTACGCAATCGGCGCGTGGGTCGTCGGTCAGGGATCCAGCCTTGTCCACTTGAAGCCACGATTGACTGCGGCATGGATGCTCTGCATCTGCGTCTGGGCTTGCCTCGCTCTTCGTCGTCGGGGAGGGAAGGACTGGGCCACTGCTCTTCTGCACGGCCTTCCGGGGCGGCAGCGCAGCTCTCCACAGCTGCTCCTGTCCTCGTGGTGCGCTCGGTCGTGGTGGAGATGACTGTTGCTACAGCTGAGGCGACCAGAGCCACAGGCACATCCGCCGCGCAACGAACCAGCCGCCGCCAGCCCGTTCTCCGCAGCGTCGGCGACGTGGCCGCGGAGCCGTGGAGGTGGACGACGCGCGTGGCCTCAGAGGAGGACTCGCCAGAGCTGCGCGGCGTGCTGTCCCTGAGACAGCACCAGTCCCTGCGGCAGGAGGATCCGTGCGGCCCCTGGCCTCTGCCGGGAACTCCGCGCAGTTCCACCGGCAGCTTTGGGGGCGCCGCTGACACGGGACCACTTTGAGGCGGGCAGTTGCGCGTTGTTTCCCACGTGCCCACGAAGGACAGCGCAGGGATCACGCTGGAGGCGGGGAGGCTTGACACCCGCGGACCCCGCCTCTCTTCCGTGGGGTGTGCTCGGGGGTCCTCCCGCCTCCAAAGCACACCCCGTGGGGCCCAGGTGGCCTCGGGGGATCCAGACTGGCGCGGAGAGCGGGGGGCACCTTTGGCCAGGATCTGTCCTCTGACTTTAGCGGGCGCTGGAGACGACGGGCCTGTTTTTTGAACCAGTTCCGTATTGCCGTTTCTGTTACCGGTTCTGACGCCGTGTTGTGCGCCGGTTTTGTCGTTTTTTTTTCCGGTTCCGGCTACAGCTCCGATCCCAGAGCCTTTTTTGGTGTTGTTTCCGGTCGCCGTTTGCTCTAACCGCTTATGTATATATATATATATATATATATATATATATATATACATGACAAAATCATTGTTGGACACGGTGAAAAACGGATCTGCCGTTTCCGGGGCACGTCCCCCGCAGGGTTTACTTGGGATGCGCTCCTCCCCGGGATCTGCGAGCAGGTCGACTCGGACTTGGCGGCTGGGCTCCGCGCCGCTCCCGTCGCCCAGAGGCGGGCGGCGTGCGGAGGCGAGCCCGCGTGCACGAGGGAGCCTGTCACAGTTGGCCGGTTTTCCTCCACCACTACCATAGGCGGGAGGAGGAGGAGGAGGATGAGGACATCCACATCCTCCCTTCTCCACCGTCCTACCTGTGGTAGTGGTGGCGGAGCATCGGCCCATCACGTCAGGGCGGCCGCCGCCAGCTCGTCGACCTCCGAGGGGAGCCTTCAGGACTGGCGCCCGCGGAGGCCCAGGTGCTCCAGCGCTGGCTCCGTCCAGCAGGCAGGGGGGGAGAAGGGCGCCCCGTCGCCGCCATGGCCGGGCGCGGCTCCAGAAGCTGTTTCGCCTCGACTCCAGGAGGGGCCAGAAGCTTGATTCTGGGTGCACTTGCTCGGGGCCCATCCTCCTCCTCCTCCTCCTCCTCCTCCTCCTCCTCCTCCTCCTCCTCCTCCCCCTCCTCCTCCCCCTCCTCCTGCTCCTACCCCCAAGGTAAGCATCTCGGTGTATCCGCTCCTCGAGAGGCGGACGCTCGTCGGCATCGTCGACGCGCTCCAGAGGTGCTTGAGGCTCGCGGAGGAGGAGGCGCAGCAGCAGCGGCTGCAGGTACGCTTCCTCCCACTGGTGTGTCCTGGCCAGCGGGGGAGGCTCACTGGTTTCGTGCAAACAGCTGCGCTCCCATCGTGAGCAGCGTGCTCCAGTAGCATTCGATGGGCCCGTCTTCTTTCTCATCCCGCACCTGCACTGTCTGAACTTCCGCGTCTGTGCGCAGCGCTTGTGCACTGCTGGGTTGGCCCTGCCCCCCCCCCCCCCGGAGGCCAAAGGGGTGATCCGCTTCCTGCTTCGGCGAGACCAGCCGATGTAGTGGCAGCATGCGGGATCGCCCCATGATATGTTTTCTCATCATCATCCTCCTATTCCTTTTTCTTCCTCCTGCGTGGCTGCCACCCCGTACTCTGCGGCCTTTGACGCCGCCACGAGACCCACAGGCTGCCGGGCTGCTTCTTGCGCACCTCTATTTCAGAGAAGTTGCGTGCCGCGCAGTGGGATTCGATCCATGGATATTGGGCGCCGCGTAATGTGGTCGAGGGCAGCGCACCCCCCGACCTGTCGCCACGCCTCTCCGCGACGAGCAGGGCCCGTCACTGGACGGGTTCGCTTCTGGCTCGTCGGGCTGACTTTCACTCCGGGGCCGGCGGCGCTGCACCGCCGTGAGATGCCCCTGGTCGGCAACGCCCAGAGGGGGGTATGGGGAGGGGGGAAGGCTTCTTAGAAGCACTCCTGCTTCTTAGAAGGCGCGGGCCTTCTCTACAGACGTAAGGCCGAGGCCTTCTAAGAAGCAGGGTGCTTCTAAGAAGCCTTCCCCCCTCCCCCTACCCTCTGTTGCGCGCCGCCAACCTGCCGACCCGCGCCCCCGCGAGCGCCTCCACACTCCACTATGGAGAAATAGTGAAGGGAACCGGGAACCCGAGAACCGATATCCGGGAACCGGGAACCGGGAACCGGGAACCGGGAACCGGGAACCGGGAACCGGGACCCGGGAACCGGGAACCGGGAATTGGGACCCGGGAGCCGGGACCCGGGAACCGGGACCCACTTCGGGAACTCCTGCACTTAGGCACTTGCAAGTGTAGTTAGCAGTACTTATCATAAGTTGTTCATAAGTCGTATGATATATAACGCTAAGTAAGTTATGTTTCAATAAATGTTGATAGGTTTTGAAAAGTGTAGATAAGTTTTTGCTAAGTACGGGCAAGTTCGGCTAAGTAGAAGATCAGTTCGGCTAAGTGTTGCCTCTGCCATGGAGGTTCTGCCCCTTCGGCCATGGAGGCTCTGCCCTTTCTCCGCGCCCTTAGCCGCTTGGCTCGACAAGCGGCCGAATGCACGTCCCAAAGAAACCCCGCGTAGTTTCATTGGTGCAAGCCCTTGGCCTTGGCATTCCTTTGCAAACTATTGGGAAGATTTCTCGAGAGTTGCGTCGATGCGACCATGACGAAGATTTGCCATTGAGTAACATTGCTGCTGACATAACTCGTTTTGTTTCTGGCATCTCAACACAGTATGGAACGATTGTGAAGACAATTAAATTGCCATTGAAAGCTGGTGGTTTCCTGGATTGGCACGTATGTTGCCCGTTTGCCCTATTAGATTTCATGTGCGAAAAAAACTACAAGTTCGGCCAAATGTTGCACGCGCATTTAGCACATCGCGAAGCAAGTGTGGTTATTTGGTCAGACGAGACGACGTCTGGCAACCAATTGAGATCTGACATGAAGAGGAATTTTTTATCCACGTATTGGTGCATTGCTGAGTTACCAGAATTTTTCAGGAACAGTGACCACGGGCGGTGGCCGATAGGAGTTCTATCACATGATGCAGTCAAAAGTGTAAAAGCAGAAGAGTCTGGGATTATAAGACACGTTCTTCGATTTTTCTTTCTGGGCCACCAGAACTTTGAACGCGGCATTCGTCTGCGAATGGGCAGTGTTGGGTTCATTCGTATCACAGGCCGTTTGGCAGCTGTGCTTCAGGACGAAAAGGGCCACAAGCAGGTTGCGTCTGTCAAGGGCGCGTCTGGGTCAAAATGTTGCCTAATGTGTGCCAACGTGTTGAGCGCGCCGTTTGACGAGGCGCCCGCGGGCGGTGTCAATTTAACTGTAGGGACATCGAGGAGGGGGAGGGGGGGGGGCGTGGAGGACGAGGAGGGGGAGGAGCAGGAGGAGGACGAGGAGGAGGAGGACGACGAGGAGGAGGATGAGGAGGAAGAAAATCACCCTTATCGCGCGGGTTGACTGTGGCGGCGAGGAAGGACGAGGAGGACGAGGAAGGGGGAAGGTGGAGAAGCAGGGCGGGGACAATGAAAAACGGACGAGGAAACCGAGCAAACAATCCAAACGTTAAATATGATACCGCCTTTCAGATTCCACTGGGGCATTATTGCATGCATTTTTCGGTGCCCGAACCCGACAGGTTCGACCTTCACACCGACGAGTCTGTTTGGGAAATGTGCGACGATCTGACCGCCCGTTCCGCCATTGAAAACAACGCTGAATTTCAAACATCACAGCAGATGTTGGGTATCACCTACAACGCGGACGCACTCCCTTTCGATTTGGACCTTCGGCGTGTTTACAAGCCAATTTCGTCCGCGTGTTGGGACTGGATGCGCATTTATTGTACCAGCGGTGGGTTCATGCAGTACCACCTCAACGAAATGTGCTTGGACATCATGGCGGCAGGAATAACATTGGCCATGCTCGATGAACAACTTGTTGAGTTTATCGATTGCAGCAAATCGCAGATCCGATCGCTCGGTGGTTCCTTTTTCAGAAAACACGTGGTCCAGAGCCGCGACAACCACATGAAAGGATTCGCAAGCGATATGCTCACAGTCCTGCGCTTCATGAATTATTTTTGTTTGCGCAGCCTCTTACCTGAAGGCGTGCTCGTGGGCGAATCCCGTGCGATTTGTTTAGCATCTGATATTATTACGATTCTGCGATCAGGGAATAAAGCTGTGCAAAGGTCAGATGAACTGGCAGGGGCGATGAAGAACTACCACGCAAGCACACAGTCGCTGTATTCAAGAAATATATTCAAAATCAAAGCGCACTTGCAACATCACATCCCCAAATGTTTGCAAACCGTTGGGTTCGGGTTGGCATGCTGGTCAGACGAACGGAGAAACATATTGCTCATTAGAGCTGCGTCACACTATACGCGTGCTGGGAATTCAAATAATGAGCGCTCGACCTAAATTCTCTGCCGTTTGATTTTGGATCTCGAGGACCGCCTTGACGCGTCATCTTTCGTCCAAACCGAATTGTTGCACCGCAGGGGCAGCGCGCCAAAGCTTACGCGTGAGTTTCCAGATTTCCTCCCAAGCCACATATCAAACACAGGTGCTTTCACATCGCTGAAGGCAAGATGGGAGCACTTCATTTTGAGATCAGGTGATGTATTGGCATTGGAGGCGCAGTGCGGGTCCACCGCTTGCGTGCAAGCCGTGCTTACATGAACGGGATATTGCTGATTGTTCAATTGTTGGAACATGCGGGAGGGAACCTGTATCGTATCACAGATTATTTTGTTTTTGTGGATATTGGTAACGTTAAGTCAATTCTTGACGCTTCGCGCACCCCCCCCCAGCCCATCCAAAAACGATGCCCAGGCGAATTGCGGTGATCAGGGGAGTGAGGGAGCATACAGAGTAGCAGAGGGCTGGGGACCCGTCTTACCCAAGATGGCGAGGATGGAGGAGGAGTCGGAGGAGGATGAGGAGGAGGATGAGGAGGAGAGGGAGGAGGGGCAGCAGGCGGTAAAAAGTGGGAGGAGGGAGGGGGGAGGAGGGGGGATAGGCGGATGATGAGGGGGAGGGCGAGGAGGAGGAGGATGAGGAGGGGGAGGAAG